CAAAAGAAAAACACCAAACCCCACGGCCACAACAGAAGTTTACGGAGCGCCTCTGGACGCTGGGCAGAAATTCACTTACTTGCAAAACAAGGCTGACCTCTTGTAGCTTTGGACTTCTTTCCTGGTCAGCTCCTTCTTCCACTTCTCTTTTACATCCTTCTCTTTGGCTGCCATCCAGCACCAAAGTCTCCAAATGATGGTGGAGTTTTGCCACCTCTTCTTGCAGCTGCCATTTGCTCTTCTCCAGGTTCTCACATTTCCCACGCAGACTGGACAGCTCTTCTTGCAAAGCCTGCTTTTGAGCCTCGAGCTGCATGCCTGTTCTAGGCTCCATGTCCAGCTGCTGGGAAAGTTCACCACCCTGGACACAGGAAAAAAAAAAGAAAAGGAAACTCAGGGTGATCTAAAGGCAGTGAATTCTGGGCAAACCTCTCAAGGGGGTGGCCATGGCAACTGTATCTATCCTCTACTGGAAACCAGCCCAGAAAACACCTGAAAGATTCCCCGACAGAAAGAAGAAACTTTAGACCTACTTAAGAATTTGGGAGACGCTCCTGGGAGCAATACTTCCAGCTCCCTTGGAGCTCAGGATGAAACTCCTCATTTAGAATCTAAGAACTCCTCCAGTGTCCAGCACAGCAAATACCCTCCGGGCTTTTGTAGCAGCCGGGGAAAGGAGCAGGCTGCTTTCTGAGCAGCCTCTACTGAGGAGAAGGCAGAAACTGAGCTCCCCTGGGCTCTCCAGGAAAACTTCATCTGACACTTGCCCCACACAAAGAGGCAACTGGGCTCAAGAGTCACAAAAAGGCAAATTTAGCACCAGCTTACTGAGGCAGAGGCTTGCAGGGCTCTCGGAAGGGCTTCAGCGCTATCGCTTGGCTGCTGGACAGTGGCTTCCAATCTGCTTTTTTCACTTGCAAAGCTTCAGAAGAAATACAGCTCTTATTACCAGAAAATCCAATGCCAGACAAACTGGGCTAAGGAACAGCATCCACAGCAGAAGTGTCCTTCAAAATCCCAGTGACTCTCCCCTTGTTTCCACCCAGTCCCCCACAGCCACAGACCCCTCCCTTCACTGGGTTACTCTCTTACTCTTGCGCGGCTTCTTCCCGTTGTTTTACGGTCGCATTCATCTCACATGAGGCCAACGGGAGGTGCTGCAGTTTCTGGGAAGAAGTTCTTGCTTCTCTTCCCTTCTCATCCAAGGCAGTCTTCAAGTCACAAACGCAATGCTCAGACTGAAGACGCTTTTCTTCCTCCTCCCGCAACTGTAAAAGGACGGGAAGAATCCACAGTTGTCAGGGGAGCTTTTCCAGAGAGGAGCCAGCTGCTGCTGAGGAACTCAGGGGCTGCATGTCTGTGTGCATCCCCTCTGCCCAAAGAACTGCAATCCACTCAAGTCCCTTCAAAGCTTCACTTCTCCTACCCCAGGAACACAAGCTGTAGGCCTTTGTCCTCTTTTCCAGCAGCCTCTCCTATGCCTCCACTGCTTTCCTACAGCACGCTTCCAAGCACCCACACTGCCCCTCCCACCTTTTTGGTCCCCTGGGACCCTTCTTGTATTCCCTTGCTTGCTACTCCAGGAAAAGAGCAGGGAAAGAGTTCATCTTCCTAAAGGAAGGCGTCTGGCAAGGGCAGAGGCCAAGTGCTCTGGCACATGTGCTCTGGAGCCCAGGATTGCACCAGGGGAGCATGGGGAGTTTTCTGAGGTGGGGAAGACCCGCACTGTAGTGCAGAGAGAGGCGCCCAGCAGCCCCTGAGCAGGAAGCAGTGGATGCCTGAGGAGAGGCAGCTCTGCTTCAGTGTGGTGGGGCCAGGAAGGGTGGCATCACTGACAAGCTGATGAGCACCATTTCAGCAAAGGCAGCCAGGTGAACTGCTCCCCAGACCTGCCCTGCAGTGGAGAATGGCACCAGGGCTGCGTGGGGAGTCTTCTTAAAGCAGGAAGACCTCAAATGTAGCAGAAAGAGAGGAGCCCCAGCCCCCCTGAGCGGTAAGGGGTGAAACCCTAAGGAGAGGCAGCTCTGCCTCAGCAGGGCGGGTTGTGGGGCAGGGGGTCAGAGGGACAGAGGCAGATCAAAGCCGGATGGAACTGCTGCCTCCTTAGGTCTCCCAAAATACTGTTTTGTCCCTTTTTGTGATGGATAGGAAGCAACAGGCACCCTCAGGTTTATCCCTGTGGGGACAGGCTTTCCATACCTCCGCGTCAGCCCTGACCAACTCCTCCTGCAAGCGCAGATTATCTCCCTCCAGGTGAGCCTCATGCCTTCCAGGAACCACAAGAGCAGTCCTAAAGCATCCAAAATGTCATTGGAAACATGTCTGATCCTGCCTCATTTTTCCCCTGCTGGCTCCCAAAAGACCTCTTCCCCCCTTTCCTACAAGCTCCGGGAAAGCAAAGCCAAGTCTATGCGAGCATTGGAGAATTTCTCTTACAAGGGGCCTCCCTAAAGCAGCCTCAGCTCCCAGGTCAGGCCGTGCTGTTCAGGGCTCCTTGCGCTGCTCTTCAAAGGCCCCACAGATGCGGCTGCACAAACTCCCGGGGCGAGCCCTTCCACCCCCTGAGCATCTCCATGGCAGCAAGTTTTCTCCTTCCGTGCGCTCGGAGCCCCTCGTGTCCCCTGGGACAGTGCTGCTTCTCTTTCCCCCAACGCTTCCCTTCCCAGCACTTAACGCACCAACTCTGCCTTGCCCCAAACCCCCCTGGTCTGCAGAGCAGCCACGCTGCTGAGCTACTGGCAAGTTTCCCCATGGCTCTGGCTCTGTGTGGGGAGAGGGCCCCACAGACAAGGCTTTCTTGCAGACCTCAGCGGGCAAAGGACGAGAGCCCCGAAGCTACGAGAGCAGCTAAGTGCAGACCTGCATTTACCAGTCACCCGGGGAACTGCTTCCACGGGGATCCTCCTTCTTTTTCCAGGCTCATTGCCACAGCCCTCGTCTCACTCACACTTGCAGACTACCCAGAAGACCCGGCTGCTGTTTTGACAAAGCCCTCACCTTTCCCCCTGGGCTTGAGCCTGCCTGTCAGCTGCTTTTCTCACAAGGCACTCCACCATCTCCTCCTGCTGTTGCAAGGCTGCAAGTTTCAAGGGGGTAAATCCCCACTGAAAGGAGAAAGAATCCCCATTAGAAAGACACAGACAAGCTCTGCAGCTGTTGCAAAGAGCAGCTTTCCCCACATGCCAAGCTTACCTGGTTCTGAGCATCACTCTGGGCATGATGCTCCAGTAACAGCCCTGCTACAGCTGTGTTTTTAGAGAGGACAGCCAGGTGAAGGGCAGTGTTGCCGTCAGCGTCTGCCAGGTTGGGGTCGGCACCGTGCTCCAGCAGAAGAGCAACAACTTCTTCCTGCTCCTGCTGGACTGCCTGGCAACAACACACCAAAAGGGAAAGACTTCCAACTTTTACATCCATCCCCCTCTCTCACAACTGCCTCAGCTCCTGAACGCTGCCATAGAAGACCATCTGCAAAGATTAGCTAACAGAGGCCTGTGCCGGGCCCATTGCAACAGGCGTGTTTCTATGGCCCTGCGGTGCAAGGAATCCTGCCACACACCTCCCCTTTCACACACCATCACTAAGCCCCAGCTCCAAGCTCAGAAGGCATTCCACACACCTTCATCAGGGCCGTCCTCTTGAAGCTGTCGGCGAGGTTGGGCTGGCTGTTCTTTCTTAGCAGATATCGAACGACATCTGCATGGCCGTTGGCCGAAGCCAGATGCAGAGGTGTCCTAAAAATTAAACAGACGCTCTTAACCTCGACAGACAAAGGACGAGCCCAAGCTGTGGCTCAGGAGCAGCCAAGGGGTGCCATCAGCGTGGCCCAGAACTCACCGCATCTCCTGGTCTCTCCTGTCGATGCCGACCACCTTCACGTACCAGCGCCAGCGCCTCAGCCAGCCCAGGTCGCCGCGGGCGGCCGCGTGGTGCAGCCTGCCCAGCCCCTGCTCCCGGAGCTGGGAGGTGCTGCTGGAGCTGCTGGCAGCCCAGGGCTGCCCACTGGTGCTGCTGGATGGCGACTGCCCTCGCTTCTTGCTCAGAAGCCACGGCATGGCCCTGCTTGCAGCTCCCAGCAGCAGGAAGGGCAAGAAGCCCCCGGCGGGCTGCCGGGCGCCAAGTGGGGATGAGGAACGGGACGAGGGCGAGGTTTAGGGAGAGGGTGACAAAGGGGACAAGGACGACAAGAAGGACGGGCACGGGGTATGAAGCACAAGGCGGACAAGGTCGCCCTGCGCAGTGCTCGTGTCCTGCAGCTGCCAAGACGGCGACACAGGCGCGCAACCAACGCTCCCCGAGCGGGATGTGCTGCTGCTCCCCGAGAGGCTCCAGCAGCTCTGAGCGCCGGCTGCGGGCACCAACAAAGCCGTGCCCGACTGGCGCCTGTGACATCACAATGGCTGGGGGAAGGCTCAGCACGTCAGCGTGGGCTGTGACAGAGGCCACGGTGCAGGTGGGGCCGGGCGGGACATGGCAGGGCGGGGCAGGTGTGAGGGCGGCCCTGCTGGGCCTGGGGGGAAGGAGGCGGCCTGGGCCTTGTGAGGGCGGCCGGCGGGAGTGGGCACTGCCCCGCCTCAGGGCGCCCCGGGGCAGGGCCCGGGACGCTCCCACCGGGCCGCAGGCTGCGGTAGGTGCTGGAGCAGCTCCCGCATCACCCGCTCGGGCTTTTGGCTTCAGCCTGGAGCCGGGCTGCCTCTGGGCACACTGCCATCAAAGGAGGCTCAGCATCAAGTGGCATCCCAGCCCAAGCAGGCGGGGGCCACCACAGCTCTCAAGAAATGCCCACCCAGCGCTCCAAGCCCGCCAGGCCAGACTTCCAGGACAATTCCCCAACTCCTTTCTCTTCTCCTGTGATTGTTGTGGCGGTCAAGAAAAGAAAAGACGCAGACAGTCTAGTTCCAAGCAACAAGACAGGAGAGGAAAGAACCTTTCGTGGAACAGAACATTGACTCTTAGAGCCCTGGGCATAACAGACATGTTCAACTACCATTGCTGCTTTTTCAGAAACATATATCACAATTGGCTGCCCTGCATCACACCAGGATGATTCAGCATTTACAGACTTACGGTGACTTGTTCAGCTCTGTCTGCCTTCCCACAGACTTGTTTGCAACCCTGACATTGTCCCTCTTGAAGAGCAGACACCTCACCCCCCCTGCCCCTCCCAACTGCTCTCACCTGCTGCTTTGCCAGATGCCAACAGTCACTTTCTGCTCTGCTGCTGCTCCACCAGCCAACGGGCAGCACACAGCAGGGCAGCAAGAAACATTCAAACACATCTTGTCCCACTTGGTCCCAATGACAACCCCAAGTGAAGGCCCACAGGTTCTGCACCAGCTTGCTCAAGGGAGGGACGCTACAACGGACCGCAAGCGGGCTGAAGAAATTGCCCTTTTTCTTTGCGGCTCTATCAGGGCTTAATTAGATGGGGATACTTTTGCTCTGTCTTTGGCCCAGCCGCTGTCGCGACGCGGGAATAAAGTGACGCTCAATATGAGAATCAGCAAGCTTCAATTTATTATTTAAATAAGTTAACTTTTATACAGTTTAGTTTGTTTTGGGCACATGCTTACAACAAGGTGATTGGATAGCTCAGTCTGTACACGTGTCTCATGTCTCCAGTTCGTTGGACCTGCTTGTTCTGTCCATGCGACCTGGAGTCATACTTGGCATGTAGAGGCCTTCATAATTAGGGGCTTTCTGAAATTTGCAGGTGTACCTTTATCTCTAGTTTCTCAAGGTTTTCTTACTATAAACATACTATGTTCTCAAACCTTATAACTAGACACACAGCTAACAAGTATAAACATTGCATATTTTCACACAGTCTATAAGCATAAACATTACAGCTTACAGCTTCTAGTCATGTCAAGCAAGGCCTACAGAAATGCAATAGAAATTGTTCACAGAATTTGAATCCTGCCACAAATGCCCCCTTTTTAAGTTTTGAACAATTTAAATTGCATTTCTGTAACATTTCTTATTATATCCATAATATTTCAATAAACACATCTACATACAATTATATCACTATCATTAACAAACTTAACAACCTATTAACTTCAGGATTTGTGTTCTTTAATTTTTACTGAGAGGTGCTACTAAATATAGGATTTATTCTTAAAATTT